CAGACACGCTGAGCGTCAGCACTGCCGAGCTGGCTGTCCGCTTCCAGTACATTGTGTCTCCTGAGTCAGTCGAAGCATCCAGCTGCAGCAACACCCTCCTTTCTGCTCGCCACTTCCGTAGTCTCCTTCGCGCAGTGGCCGCCTGTACTTCTGCCACTCAGAGTGGTGCCGCTGGCCAACGTAAACGTTCCTCGAGGGAATCGGACCTGTGGATACTGAAGCCGCAATTTGTCATGGTTGCTCGACGATTGGCCCTGATCCCTAGGTGACACTGACCCTTATTTGCATTGTTAGAAAGAACTCCTGTACAGTTTTGCATCTTGACACGAAACCTAACTTTTCTCTGCTCTTTTTTAAGTTTTTATCAGTTTATCATAGCAGATACAAAGGCCAGAAAGCGTTTAATAACTATTTTGATTAGTTTACTGTTGCTCCCAATCATATTCTTATGCTAAACTGTGGAAGGGAGAAGTGGTGGGTCTGAGATTTGGAAGCCTTCACCGAGCTTTGCCGTTTAGCCCGCATACTGACTGTCTGCAAGCCTTTCTCGCTTTCAAAGTTTTTTTTGTAGGCACCTTACATTTAGGTGCATGCGTGTGCGCCAGTTTGTCAATATGTACGAAACGCAATCTCACGCCAGACGAGGATGGTAGCTCGATGCTGTCGGTGGGGGAGAGACTGAGGGGGACGAGTCAGCGAATCTCTTTCCTTGCTATAAAAAATCTGAAGTGCTTGAAGCTATCACCGGGCGCTAAAGCCGTGGTTTGGAGGGTTGCCATCTGATAACTCCGACCGCGAGTTCAGTTCAGTGTGTGTCTTGTTGTATGGAGTGAGAGTCAGGCTGCAATGACTCCTTCTTAATGTGGGCGTTATGGCATTCCCACCTACCCAGGTGTTGTTTATGCGCGTGTTGGAAAGGCGGCCTATCCCGCGCTAGAACCTGACTCCTGTCTTCTCGACTATGTATTGACGCTGGGTCCACGGGGGTGAGGTAGCTGGGTGATAGTCCACTCATTAGCCTGAGCATAGTCATCGTTACTGCACCACCCTGTTGTGGAGCATACAGTGGACATCACCAAAATCGATGGTCAAACTGTCACGAATTGCAATACCCGTAAGTTACCACGGTTGTCTGTAATAATTGTTGACAATAAGGAAGGAGTGTATGTCTTTGAGGAATTTGCACAACAGTACTACGCTTTTCGTTGGTTTCTGCTGAAATTTTATTCAGATGGAGTTCGGACTACAGGAACCTCGGAAGTATAGGATCTGTATATTAGTCTAGCTACGGGTTACCTGGTACGTCCAAAAATGGCTGATAGTGTGGTGATTTAGCCATAAGTAGAAGGTTGAGATCCATGAATAAGCAGTTACCGACCTTTAAAGGCTAAAATCCTCAGGTTTATTTGAGCATCGATTTGGCACATACGTTGCCTACAAAAAGGTTGCCAACCACCCTCTGCCAAGGCTCCTCTCGCAGCCAATTTCCTGCCGTTTTGGCCGCAGGTGTAGTAGGATTTTGTGTCTTAATTGAAAATCTTCACGATGTATCGTAAGGCCTTTGGATCCGTCCAAACCAGACTTACTATCAGAAACAATAGAGACTAGGTAGAAGGTAGTATAGTTTGCATGGTTAGTGCAGTCTTCGGTCTGATAGCTTGTACTAAGTGTGAATATGATTCACTTTCGGAGATGAGCTCGTTGTCGTGCTGAGCCCCTGGGGTCTATAGAAATATTTTAATCAACCGAAAGACCTTTAATTATGAACGAATGTCAATTTATTTGGTTTAAATGCAGTAGTATCTTCGTTACCGCAAGCTGATTTTAGAGCTGTCTCAAGGTAAAAATTATCACAATGCCGCGAAAATAGACTTTTAAAACACAGAGTCTCTGGACGCAACCTTACGTTGAAAATTCTGAAACCACCGTCGTTGATTGCTTATTCGCATTTCCAGGTCCCGTGAATCTTGCATCTGGCTGATTGTTAAGGACCTTGGAGACAAATAGTAGTTTGAAAATAGCCTATTAATTGTGTGATACTGAGGCGAGTTGTCTCCTTTGTCATGTTGGGTATTGACAGGGGATGTCCCGGGTATTTTAGACGCCCTTGACGAAGATGGCGAAAAGCCCATGTCCCGTTTCCATCTTTCCTCCTTGTTGTTAATGTCAAATTGGTCAGTTGAATGTTCATTGTCTAGTGAATTTAAAAATTCAGACCTAGTGATGATAGCATGCATTGCAAGGGGATCGTAGGAATCTCTCTCCGAAGAATTCGATTTCCGTTTCAGGGCCTCTTTGCTCAGGGCAGTTGCCATCCGCAGCCGGTTTATGCTATTCGGCTTCCCTTCTCTTGGTATTACAGAGTTTTTTTCGTTCTCTCTGACCCTGTTTTTGACTGTTTGTATTGATGATACTGGAAAGTCACTGGCAGTGCGCCTCCAGGGTACTGTATACGTCTGATAAGGTTGTCTAATTGGCATTCCGACCATTCGTTCTTCTGTCCTCTTTTCTGTGAATTCGCTCTTCAGCGTTGCAGGTTTTCTTCGTTCCCCAAACAAATTGACTAATTCCTTTATTTTTGCATTTTCGGAGTTCGAGAGGTGGGTATTTTTGAGTAAGTGGTCTATTGTTGTTCTAATTCGTTGGCTCAGTTCGTCGCTCTGGTTAAATCCTCTCATTAAATTTTCTTCTGAATAAATATTATCGCATTTGAAGCGGTTTTTGCCGAAGTCTTTCCCCTCTCCGACTTGGTCTACAATAGAATATGGGCATAAAATATCCTTAAATGGTGTAGATGAACAGGCTTCAAAATTTTGAAAGATATAAGGTTCCTCGGCCGAAGTTTTCCAAGCCCACTCAGGCTGTTCCTTACTTTTATTCATCTCGAACAAAAAATGATCGCTCCCAAAATTTGTAGTGTCCGGAGGTTTTATCACTTCTTTTTGGCCGTAGCTAGCAGTAGCAGTTGATTTCGTTTGTTCCAGCGTCCAAATTTCGTTATCTGTCTTATCTAAGTTTTCGAGTAAATTTACCGTCCTTAACCTTGATCCGTCATCAGGTGTATTTTCTACTTCTGACTTAATTTCACTCTCTTCCGCAGGCCGATTAGTTTCTCTATAGACTGTTTCGTAGGCGCTACACATGTCATCAGACGCTGTGTGATATCCAGTAGAATCTTCTTTTGTTCTGTTATCCAATGAGAGACAAGTACCATTACTCACCGCGTGCAGGCTCGTTTCGGTGACAGTCTCTTTTTCAGATGAAGAACCTGCCTCGGACGGATTCGTTGCGAGACCGTTCGGATCACCGCTTTCTGAGCTCAACCGCCGCCGTTCTTCCATCGCCAATCTGCGATATAAAGCATCACATGGGTGCTCCCACGAGGAGTCACCGGTTGAAAAGTTGAAATAGTAGAGATTTCCTTGCTGGTCAACGCAGGCCTTCCAGGCTTCTGGAAGAGACGCTGTTAAACATTCATGAACTAGTTTCGTGAGATATGGCTCTTTTTCTAAGTCGATTCCAAGCATTTTTGCGCAGGCTTCTAATTCGTCTGCAGTTGGTATGAAGTCCTCGTCGGATGTTTCTTCAAGAATTATTTGTCCGCTGTTCTCTGTCATTCTTCGTTTTTTTGCGGTTGATGATCTATAAGCCAAAAAAATAAACGATATAAGCTTCCTTTTGTTCACCGTATGTCGGTCTATTTCTCTTCAGTCTTAATTCTGACTTTAATGACGGGTGTAAAATAAAGAAGAAATAAATTGCAATGGTCATTTTGAGTTTAATATTTGATTTAAATCAAACCCTTATTGTTTTAGTTAGCTAAGTCTTCAAAGCCCTCACTGACTAAAATAATTATTTGGTGACCATCAGGAATAAGGTAGATTAGTCTGATGCAAGAAACGCTCATTTGACAATCCTTTTGAGAAATATGCTGAATATGGTCTTCAATATTATTAACATTCTGAATTCCCCTAATTCTATGTAGAACGGGAACGAACACTGTCTTTTTTCACATGATAGTTTTTTTTTATATAAAGAACGAGTTAGGATATGCTAACTCAGATGGACCTCACTCTTGACAAGCAGGAGGCCCGATTACCCTACGTACAGCAATCGGCCAAGTCTTGTAGCAACATGGGTTGTGTTTTCCTATAAACTTGCAGAAATTGGCTGAGACCGTGTTAGACGCTGTACAGCGTCTATCCTTGAAATGAGTATATATGGGTGTTTGGA